AAATATCCATGAAGCTCATTAAATGCAAAATTAACATCCGATTCTATTCAGAGCTCTCTTCAAAGATAACTCTCTTGTGAAGATAATTTAAATAATCACAACACAAGTCAAAATGTATTTATATAAACGAACATGGGCTGAGGGTATACATCTGTCGGCAAACCTGATTGATAATTTTTATTTATTATACCCTACAACACTATGTGTTGGGGGTATTATAAGTTTGATTGGGCCAAAAATTATGTAACACCACGAAATATTGATTTCCCACATAGGAAAGTGTATATGGATCTTCCTATCTCGCCGAGCTGAGTCGATCTAGCTATGTATGTCCGTCCGTCCGTCTGTCCGTCTGTCCGTCTGTCCGTCTGTCCATGTTAATTTGTAATCACTCTACAGGTCGCAATTATGGCCCGATCTTCACGAAATTTAGAATGTAGGTGGGGCTAGGGTCAGAATAGAACCCTATTTCTTTTGGAGATGATCGCCAAATGTTTAGGGGTTGAAATGGACCAAATACTGAAAAAATGTCAGATTTTGCAGTAGCTATACAGGTCGCAATTATAGACCAATCGACGCGGAATTTCGCATGTAGCTAGAGTTTAGGGAGGGGAAGAAGCCTACCAATTTGGGTGGTCATCGGATAATATTTAGCGGGTAAAATAGGCCATATCTTTTTTGTTGAAAAAATTCATAATTTTTCATTAAACCGCGAATATTTGAAATCCCGGCGAAATCACAAAGCCACGACAAGGTTACTTCTGATCTTTACATTGATGTTAAGATCCAAAAAATCGAATATATAGCAAATATATGCGATATATATGTCTATCAAAGAAGATATGCCTGAAAGATCTCATATATGTCGAGAACGGCTGAACTGATTTCGACAGTTCTCATTAATTCAGAATGCCCTCTTGACAGGAAAGGAAAAACGTCTAAAAAACGCATACAAATATCTCTATGAAGATGAAAATATTGATTTTTTAAAATTTTCTCATATTTTTTCCATTTTGTCATATTTTTGGCATATTTTCATTTTGAATTAAACATTTGGTAATATTTCTACAGCTAACAAAACTAAGTAGTTAGGATATCAGGATATCATATACAGATCGCATTTATGGCCCGGTCCTTACGAAATTTTGCATGGAGATAAGATGAGGGTCAGAATAGAAGCCTACTCTTTTTGGAGATGATCGCCATATATTTAGGGGTTGAAATGGACCAAAAAACTGCAAAATTGTCAGCAGGTCGTAATTATCGCCCGATCCTCACACACATTTGAATGGGGGTTACCGGACATTGCAAAAGCCAAGCAGTTTTGGATGCCCATCCAAAAATATTCAATGTGCGAAATAGTTTGCCAACTTTTGTAGACAAAATACGAAAAGGTTCATTCCAGTGACTTTTTGGAGAATTCACAAATACAGGAAAGACGCACTTCTGACTATTTTTTTAACGCTGATTTCGTTGAAGAATGTAGTCAAATGTCTGTATCTCACATAGATGCGTTTCAGTCAAAAACCAATAATAAATGTTAATCTTTTGCCACTTCTGAGAGATTATAGGTCTTTGGGAAATATTGGTTCCAGATCTAGGAAGACCATTCAAGTGCAACATCTACCAATAAGTTGGAAATGAACAAATTAGTTTAAGTTGCTATTATTCGGAAATTAGAGAACGAAACCTGATGGGTTTCTTTTATTATTTGTCACAATATCTTGTGGAATTCTTTCGAGTATCTTGCCTATATAAACTGTATCGTTTATTATAGTGTTGTAGGGTATTCAACGGTCGGCCCCGCTCGACTGTAGCCTTTGCTTACTTGTTTTTTTTACTCTAAATTACCATCATTGCATTGAAACTGAATATTAAAATTGTCGGAAACAAATATGTTACCATAGTATGAAAATATTTTTAATCGTACAACAGTAACAGAATTTTGAAAAGGAATTTTGAAAAATAAAAGAATCGGGATTGAATATTGGGTCACTTCCATTTTTATACCCTACAACACTATGTGTTGGGGGTATTATAAGTTTGATTGGGCCAAAAATTATGTAACACCTCGAAATATTGATTTCCCACATAGGAAAGTATATATGGATCTTCCTAGCTCGCCGAGCTGAGTCGATCTAGCTATGTATGTCCGTCCGTCTGTCCGTCTGTCCATGTTAATTTGTAATCACGCTACAGGTCGCAATTATGGCCCGATCCTTACGAAATTTTGCACGAAGGTGGGGTTAAGGTCAGAATAGAAGCCTGTTTCTTTTGGAGATGATCGCCAAATGTTTAGGGGTTGAAATGAACCAAATACTGAAAAAATGTCGGATTTTGCAGTAGCTATACAGGTCGCAATTACAGACCACTCGACGCGGAATTTCGCATGTAGCTAGAGTTAAGGGCGGGGAAGAAGCCTACCAATTTGGGTGGTCATCGGATAATATTTAGCGGGTAAAATAGACCATATCTTTTGTGTTGAAAAAATTAAAAATTTTTCATTAAACCGCGAATATTTTAAATCCCGGCGAATTCACAAAGCCATGACAAGGTTACTTCTGACCTTTACATTGATGTTACCATCCAACAAATCGGATATATAGCAAAATATGTGCGATATACATGTTTATCAAAGAAGATATGCTTGAAAGATCTTTTATATGTCGAGAACGGCTGAACTGATTTCGACAGTTCTCATTAATTCAGAATGGCCTCTTGGCAGGAAAGAAAAAACGTCAAAAAAATCGCATAAAAATATCTCTCTAAAGATGAAAATATTGATTTTATAACATTTTCTCATATTTTTTCAATTTTGTCATATTTTTGACATATTTTCATTTTGAATTAAACATTTGGTAATATTTCTACAGCTAACAAAACTAAGTAGTTAGGATTTCAGGATATCATATACAGATCGCATTTATGGCCCGATCCTTACGAAATTTTGCATGGGGATAAGATGAGGGTCAGAGTAGAAGCCTACTCTTTTTGGAGATGATCGTCATATATTTAGGGGTTGAAATGGACCAAAAAACTGCAGAATTGTCAGCAGGTCGTAATTATCGCCCGATCCTCACGCACATTTGAATGGGGGTTACCGGACATTGCAAAAGCCAAGCAGTTTTGGATGGCCATCCAAAAATATTCAATGTGTGAAATAGTTTGCCAACTTTTGTAGACAAAATTCCAAAATGTCCATTCCAGTGACTTTTTGGAAAATACGGAGTATTGGGAGGTGCCTTCATATGGGGGCTATTCGAAGACGTGAACTTGCCTACGAAATTTGTTGCCATAAATTGTAGTACCCATTAAGACCTTCAATACGAAATTTGAAACGATTCCGGTGAATAATGTTCCTAAATTCGTCAAAATATCGACTATCGGGAGGTACCGTTATATGGAGGCTATACGAAGACGTGAACCTGCATACGAAATTTTTCCTATAGGTTGTAGTACCCATACGAACTTCAAATACGAAATTCGAAATAATTCCGGTGTATAATGTCGCAAAAATCATTAAAATACCGAATATCAGGAGGGGGCTATACGAAGACGTGAACCTGCATACGAAATTTTTTGCCATAGGATGTAGTACCCATTAGGATCTTCCAGTACGAAATTTGAAACGTTTCCGGTGAATAATTTTGTTGAAATCATCAAAATATCGAATATCGGGGGCACCGTTATATGGGGGCTATACGAAAACGTGGGTCGACATGGCCCATTTACGAACCTGCCTACTGGCAAAAGAAACATGTGTGCAAAGTTTTAGCCTTCTATCTCAATTCGTTCGAAAATTGGCGTGATTACAACAGACAGACAGACGGATATCGCTAAATCTACGTAGATTTTTACGCTGATCAAGAATATATGCACTTTGTTGGGTCTGACATGAGTATTTCGAGGAGTTACAAACGGAATGCCAAAGTTAATACACCCTCCATAGAATCGTGGAGGGTATAAGAAGTGGCAAAGCAGAAGTTCGAATGGGGACCTTTAAATGACGACTATACGAAGATGTGGATCTGCATAAGTAATTTATTGTCATAGGCTGTTGTATCCATTAGAAACTTCAAATACGAAATTTGATACAATTCTGGTGAATAATGCCGGTAAATTCATCAAAATGCCGAATATAGGGAGGTACCGTTTTATGGGGGCTTTACGAAGTCGTGAACATACATGAGCAATTTTTTGTCATAGGCTGTAGTGCCCGTTCCTAAATATGAAAGTGGAAACCATTCCGGTGAAAAGTGTGACACAAATCATCTTCAGACCTAATTATCCTTTATCATTGCATTTGGAATCTAGAGTGATTTACACAAATGGACATACAGATGGAATAAATCGCAAAGTCGACATAGAATATATATATATATATATATATATATATATATATATATATATATATATATATATATATATATATATATATATAAATATATATATATATATATATATATATATATATACATATATATATATATATATATATATATATATATATATATATATATATATATATATATATATATAAATATATATATATATATATATATATATATACATATATATATATATATATATATATATATATATATATATATATTTCATATTTGGTGCAATAACCGCAAAATTGGGTGAAAATATATATGGAAGCAACATTTAAATCTGTAACAACGAAGATTTATCTAAATTCGGACCGACTCTCACTAATTTCAAAAGAGCCAACTCAATGATTTGTGGAAAATTTCGTCGCAATCAAGTTCTACCTGTACTTTGTTTACAAAAATACGTGGACAGACAGACGGACATTCATAAATCGAGAATTTGATTTTATGAAGATCATCAAAAGGAACTATGGGCCTACTTCGTTTTCTTATGCATGTAAGAAAGAAATGTACAAAAGAATAATACCCTGGACCCACACAGCGGTAGAGTATAAAAATGTTCGGCTAATGCCAAAGAGATAAAATAACTATGCATGGTGATTTTTTTATTCAATGAGAACTTTAAAATGCTAATTGAGAGACAAATAAATTGGAAATTGAAGGTGATCTATGCCAAATCGCTCACAAATATAGGACATTTTGAGAATATGAATTTCGAAATTATAAATTTTTCATGGTTTTAGAGTTTATGTGTAAATTTATTCTTTACCTCTATTTGTACTTCAAATTTTACGTTGTGGATTTCCTTACCGCCCTGGACATCAAACACAAAGCTTCTCGTTCCAAATTACGGCCCAATTTCATATTACCATATTGCCGTCCTATTTCTAAATACTCTTGGACATCAACGGTTATGTTTTGATCAGATAAACTGCCTGTGGCACAGATAGACGAACTATCTCGCAGACGACTTCCCATGGAATCTTCGGAAAACGATTCGAATTGCTTGTCACCACATGGAATCCCACGATGAGCTTCTCTTCCTTCTTTACCACATAATTTGGCAAAATAACGTTTACGTTCTCTGGCAGATTCATAATTACAGCAAGGATCATGTTCAGCTAACTCTTTTTCGCCATCCAGATTATTCTTAATTATTTGTTGGCGAACATTTGCGGAGATCTCTTGAGGCAGCAGAGATGGTTTGCGACAATTTTCCAATATCCAATGGATTTCATCTTTACAGGCTACAACTTGTAATTCATTAAATGGCAAAGGACGTTGTATTGTCACTGCTGTCCTGGTATTGTATAGACCCTCTTCGACGTCAATATAATTTGCGGGCACCCTTCTGGGCGGTTGTTCGGGTGTTAGAAAAGAATAGGGGCCAACTGGCGGTAAACCTTCGGCCTGTTCAATGGCATAACGACGATCGAATTTGCAGCAATATTTCCAGGAAGAAAAATCGCCGCACCATTTGTGAAATCTTCCACTAACATGAAGGCCATCATCAAACCACATATCTTCAATTTCATGAAGCACACCATCCAGAAAAGTTCCGCGGAAGCTAAAATTGTAGGGTTCAGCCAGATGAAGTGTGCCATAACCATTGAAATGACCCCGACTAAAATATCCTTTATATACACTGCCATCGGGATATGTGTAGGTACCATAACCATCAGGACATTGTAGAGCATTTTGCCACACTCCTTGGTAATGACTGCCAGTTATGAGACGTTGTTTTGTGTCATGATTTTGACTAAAGTTTGGCATTGAATCTTTCTCGTCGACATCTGGTGTGGCGGATATGTTTTTCTTATTTTTGAGAGATGTTGGATTTTTTTCCATTTCGATGTTAATATCGTTTTTCTGGTATTGGTATTAAAAATATTTGAAATATTCTCCAAGGCACTTTTATCATTATTTAAATTTTTATTTTCCTAGGTATGGACAGTTACTATGTTTCCCTATTGATTCAAAACAAAGGATGACAGCTATATCGCTATCACAGCTAATCGGAATCAATTTCCATTAAATTTGACGCAGGTTTTGTTTCTCCTCGTACTAAATGTCATTGGTGAATAGTACAAATTATGACTTTGAGAAGGCTTAAATATAAAATCGGGTGAAACAGATTATATACCTGAACATATATACAGGGTGAGATAAAAAACTGCAACAAATCAAACACAATAATTTTTACAGTTTTTTTTTTTTAATTTTATTAAAATAAAGCAAAAATGTCGGAAATAGCTTCAAATTTTAGAATAAGTTTAGATTTATTCGAATTGGTCACCGTTGGAACAAATTATGGCCTTCAAATGGCCAATGAAAACAAACGCTACCTGAATATTGCTCTGCGGTATTTTGACCCATTCCCGGCGAAGCGCTTGCTTTAAGTGATAGACACTTCGATATTTTTAGTGCCAACCTTGCTGTCCAAAATACTCCAGACACAATTGTCCAACGGATTGGTATCCGGAGATTTTGGTGGCCATTGTGCGCTGGAAATGAAGCGAGGAACCTCATTTTGTAATCATTCTTGGGTGGCGCGTGCTGAGTATGATGGTACTGAGTCCTGTTGGAATGTCCAAAGTCTGCGGCCAAACCGTTTGCGTGCCCAAGGCTTTAATACACCCTCTAGAATATTTTCGCGATAATATTCGGCATTTATTCTGACGGTCGATTAATACGAGCGGAGAGCGACCATCGGGTGTTATGGCGGCCCACACCATCACCATGGCCGGCGCTTGAGTTCTGATGGCCAACCGAAGGTGCACATTTTCAGCTGACCTCTTTGACAAAATACGATCACTTTGTTTGTTTACAAACTGCTGGACAACGAATGATTTCTCATCGGAAAAAACCAAATTCGGCAGTTCACCACTTTCGGCCAAGCGAAGCAACTCTTTAGCTCTTTTGAGTCTATTTTCTTTCTGTTGCGGTGTAAGTTCTTGCACTTTTTGGATTTTCAATGGCTTTACACCGAGCTCATTTTTCAATATTTTCCGAATGGAATATAGCGATATGTTCATCTCACAAGCCATTTTTCGACCGGGTTTCGATCAAGTCGCTTCTTTACTTTTCGAACCATTTATGCCGATGTTGCTGTTTTCTTCCGTCCACTTCCTTGACGTCAGGCTACGCTACCAGTATCAGTATCACGGTAATGAACGATGGTACGAGACACAAAAGATTTATTCACATTGAAATGCTGGAGTGCTCCAACGGTAGCCACTTGTGGTTTTCCAGCCAAATATAAAGAAATCACACTATCACGCTTGAATTCCAGCACGAATAACTTTTTTTCTGGAAAATTCTCTCCAAAATGCTTTTGTACACTTGCAAACAATATAGTGAGCTGTCACTGGAATAATTTTAACAGCTGTTGGACGAGTGGCTTAGAAATGACAGCAGTCTGAAGTTGGTTGCAGTTTTTTCATATCATCCTGTATATGGGAGCTATATCTTCATTTTGACCGATTATCTCCAATTTCAATAGGGTTCGTCCTTGGGTCAAACAAATATCATAAGCAAAAATACATCCACGTATCTCGATGGATCGTATTGAAATAGGCATACTTCAATTCAGATCGAATGAGCATTAAAAATGTAGCAATTTTATGCAATTTATCTGCACACTTTAATACAGAGGATGCTGCATTTTAGCAGCCAAAATAAATTTATAAAATTTGTGCAAATCACATGAAATGGATTCACAGAATATGAAAATCGAAATAATAGAGTTTTAATCATAGAATTAACACGAAATTTTGTTTCATATTTCACTTAATTTCGGTAAGCTTACGATGAACATAAAAAAGTTCCAAAGGCCCATTTTGCATGATAATTTGAAAATTACCTATTTTTGACGGTAATGGCAAAAAAGGTTAGAGAATCCCACCAGCTGACTAAGTTTCATTTATTTTAGAGCACCATAGGACATATTTTAGAAAAATATTTTTATACGCTATGTCTTTCTGTTAGTAGCTCCTCGAAATAATCACGTTAGACCCTACAAAATGAATATATTCTTAATCAGAAAAAATTCTTGACCTCATGGTCGAGGGTATTAATTTGTTATACCCTCAGTCAGGCACCGCCCCGACAAAAAGTCGAAATTTTCAAAGAAAATATTTTACTGCACAGAAAGAGAAAACATCATCCAACTTTGCAAATCCGAAATGAGAAAATGGACAATATCGGTCCACTCTAAATTTTGAATAATTATAACTCCTATAAAATGCGAAATTGTGTTCAAATTTGACACATCACAATATTTTTACTAACGAAAGATCTATTGGGAAGATAACAGATATCGGCCCTGCTGGTATCTCCCCCATAACGAGTTAAAATTTGGAATAAACTCTCAAAAAATTAGCATCGGATTCATTATAAGCCTCACATATTCCAAAATTTTCACTAAAACAAGATCTGACGTGTAGATGGAATATATCGGTTCGCTCCTTCTGGAACCTCCCCCACAAAGAGTCATCATTTCAAATAACCATAACAATTATAAAATCCGAAATAAGCATCCGGTTCTCTTCAAATTCCAAACATCCCATTATATCCAATATCTGCTGTAAAGATGAAAAAATAGCGGCACACTCCTTCTGGTACGTCCTCTACAAAGGGTTTAAAGTTTTGCAAAATAAAACGCTCATAGCATCAAATTCTCTTCAAACTTTACACATCCAAACAATTTTGTTAACGCAAGAAGATCTGTTGTGAAGATGATGTATATCTGCCAACCCCTTCTGTATATGTATTTCCAATTGTAAAATGTGAGAAAAGAAAGAACAACCTTATTCTTTGGATGTAGTTTCAATTCTAGTTTTATTTCAAAAATATTTTCCTTACGTACTACTGAAACTAATCTAACTTAACCTAGTCGCAGCCACACAATTGTTCTTATCTATTCTAATACTGAATGGAGAACATTGCAGGGCTGCTTGGCATCTCATTCAAGTGGTCTTGTGCATCTACTGAGCGCATCGATATCTGTGCGTGTGGGTCATAACCTTTATTATCTCACACATTATCGTATGCGTCAGCGCACAAGATCACTGAATACTTCACATGTGATATTTTATGGCGGCTGGGAAATATTTAATTTTAGAATATTTATTGTTTATTGCTAGATTTTCCCAGCGCCTCAACCGCACTCAAAAGTATGTACAAAGTATTTTGTACACCAATTTTATGCGAAATCATTAATTCCATATTCATCTCAGGTTTCCGGTTGAGGGAAATATTTAGATTTGGCAAGTTGTATAGAATCAATGACTTGTTTCGCAAGTTATGACAGATAAAAATATTGAAAATTGTGAACCCTTAACGGCGAGATACCAGAAGGGGTTCACATATATATCACACAGATCTTGTGTTAGCAAAAATGTTTGTATGTGTGAAATTTGAAGAGAGTTGGATGCTTATTTCGCTTCTGAGCATTGGGCGTTTTGTTATTCAAAATCTTGAGCCCTATATGTAGGGAGTACCAGAAGGAATGGTCCGATCTCTACCATCTATATAACAGATCTTGTGTTGATGGAAATATTGAGATGTATGAGTGTGAGTGGAATCGAATGTTAATTTCATAGGGATTCATACCAGAATTAGTGGACGATATATCCCATCTTCATAGCAGATCTTGTGTTAGTAGAAATAATGGGATGTCTGAAAGAACCGGATGCTTATTTTTATGATCGTTTTGATTATTAAAAATTTTGAACCTTTGTGGGGAGGTCCCAGAAGGAATGATCTGATGTTTACCATATTTATTACAGATCTTCTATTGATAGAAATATTGAGTGCTAAGTCTGAATTGAAGCGGATGTTTATTTCGAGTTTTATGAGCTTCGTGGATATTCAATATATTGACCCTTTGTGGGGGAGGATTGACCCCACATACTCCATCTTTACACCAGACTTGGGTTAACGAAGATATTGTGATGTGTGCAATTTGAAGACAATCGGACGCCTACTTCACATTTTATAATAGTTTTAATTATTAAAAATGTTCACCCTGGGGGAGGTACTTGATAGAGTGGACCGATATTATCCATCTCCAAACTCAATCTAAGTTAGATAATAGAATTACAATGTACCAATTTTGGACGAAATTTGATGCTCCCTTCTACAGTTATCATGCGAGTTACCTACAGCCACCAATAAACAACATTATTATTAAGTTCATTATTTTCAACCACAACCTCATTTATTAATAACATCATTATTATTAACACCATTATTATTAACATCATTATTATTAACATCATTATTAGTTACAACATTGTCATAAGCACCAAAGAGCTAACACCAATATTGTTGACATTATTTCGTCAGCAATAATTCTCCACTTCAACATCACAATAACAACACTAGTAATAAAACTACGACGGAAATAACCCAAAAAGAAATGTTTACTTTTACTGTACCCAATACAAATTTTTAGCTTAAGTATTTTTCTTGATAGCTCTAGATTTTATGTTTCTTTGTTCTTTGTTAACTCTAAGAAAAATCAATAATTGTAAAATCACTTAAATATAAGAATTTTTTGAATAAAGCATTAGTTGTATTTGGCATCTAAAACAGAATAATTCTTGTTTTCTTATTTGTCGGCGGTACGGAAGTTAACTGGCGCAGTCGTACGGCCATTGTTGGTGCGGTCTTTCTCAAGTGAAAAAAAAATATAATTAAATAAATGTATCCTTAAAACAGGAAAAAAAACAAAAAAAAAAAAAAAAAAAAAAAACAGTGACAAGTTAATTGTGGAAAAAACAGTGAACTATCCTTTAAAGGACATAAAAAAAAAAAAAAAATTTTTTTTTTGAGAAAAATTTGGTGAAGGAAAAAATATATTAAATTAATTAGGCTTGACGGTATATCAAGTAATCCTTAAGGAGAAAAATCGTGCGCCAACAATCGGAAAAAAAAGAACCTACGTCCGTACAA